ATACACTATAATAAGTCAATCGAAGGTAGTTTTAAGAAGGAATTTTTAACTTATTCCTTTATTTTACTTTATTTTTTATAAATAAATCTTATATAAATCAATTGAAGTAGACTTTTGAAGTGAATTTTTAATTATTCATTTTTCTTAAAAAAATCACAATAATTATGTAAAAAATAATAAAATTATAAAATTATAAAATTAATAAAATTTAAATAAATATAAATTAGTTATTTTTTAATTCTGATTTTGCTTGGCTGATTTTAGGCTGATTTAGGTTGATTGATGATCAAATTTAGATAGTTTTTATACCAATTTTAGATAATTGATTGATGACCGATTGATATTTCTGATTGACTCATATTGTGTCAATCGGAATTAATATAAATTAGCCCTAAATCAGTCATCAATCATCCATCAATCGTCCATCCGATTTTTAGCTAATTTGTATCCATTTCGACCAGTATATATCTTATAACCTAATTTTAATAGCATATGACTCATATTTCAATACATATAAAAATTCAAATTTTTAGTATTTAAAATTAATAAAGGATTTTGTATTACTTGACACGTTAAATGATTTTGTAATACAATAAAAAAATTAACAGAAAATGATGTGAAATCATCAATTATTAAATGGTATAATAATGTTACAATATTTAATACCGATATCATTCAAACTAAAAGTCAATATAATAATTCTTCTTCTTTAGCAATATTTTTATTTTTATAGATGTAAAAGATGCATAGTACTATAATACAACTAATATAGAAATTTGCTTTGAAATTATATTATCATCTCATAATATAACTATTATAATAATTTTAAAATTAAAATTAATTTTTTATTTATTAATAAATATTAATGTGACTTTATTTACAAATACAAGTTGAATGGAAAAAAATATATATGAATTTGCATTAATATAATGGTATAATTTTATATATTAAACAGAAACTAGTTATTTAAATATGAATGTCTACACCTTAAATTGATAAAAGTATTTATATTAATTACAATAAATTCTAGTACATATTATTTAAAATTTTGAAAAAAAGAATGAATATTTAATAAATATTTTATTATTTAAATAATTTACAATTAAATTTAAATAAAGATAATTTACTCTTATACTATTGTATATATTGATTAATTTAACACATAATATAAAATTAATATAGGAGATAATTAGTAAAAAAGGAAAAAATCCAAAATTTTTGTTTTTAATTATTAAGCTAATTTTATACACATGACCGAAATCAGCTAAGTGATTCAATAATATAAATTTTGACCAAAATTTGGATTTTCTACTTTTTTACTAATCACTTTCCATAATCAAAATTTTAATTATTGTTAAATTGATTTATTATATTAAAACTTTAATGTGAATCCATTTTTAACAAGTGAAAGGATATGATTTATTATATTAATAAATTAGAAAGAAAAATAGGTTTATGCAAAATTTTTTCTATCAGTAATAACTTTATTAATTTGTAATAAAAATTGTGAAAAATCAATTAAATATAACCAATGATACAGCATCTTTTGGAAACTTTGTGCGCATACATAAATCATCACCATTATCAAAGCGTTTTCTTTTACGCTCTAAAGAAATATTATTTGCTAATTGTTCACCAACTCCTTTTATCAATCTTAATTCCCAGATAGTAGCTAAATTAATATTAATTTTTTCTTGTGCTATTTTTGGAATAAATAAATGTTATTTGAAAACTTTTGAAAGAAAAAATTTAGAAATTATTTAATTTACCAACCTGCTGCAAATTGAGCCCGTGTTGCATAAGTAAAACCATAAAAAGTGCGAAAATTGTCCTTACATATTAAAGCAGCATTATTAATATCTTTGAGCAA